CGTCAACCTCTCACAGTCGGACCTGATACACATTGGAACCGAATCCTAGGCCGCCAAGATAACTGCCTTAAGAATTGCAACACTTTCTGCTTGAATCGAATAAGAACAAAAGATCTCTCAGCCCTTTCATCGACAACCTGACCGTGGGAGTTAGCAATATCAATCCCATAAGCCACCACATGTGCATCAGAAACAAAGGAACCATCACAGTGATTAATCTTGCTAAAAGGATCAGGTGGTGATAAGGTCGACGATCGAGGACCCCCAGGCTGAGAAGGCAAACCAGCTGATGTAGAAGATGTGGAGACTGAGGACGAGATCCTAGCTTCCTGAACGTTTCGGACGTCACGATCAGCTAAAATTGCCACAACTGCCGTGGAGAACACCCTTCCACCATGACCATACCATTTCGAGCAATCCGGATATTCCAAAGAGAACACACAATCTTGGTGAGTGGTGACTAGGTCAGCTGTCAATCGATCTCTAAGATTGAAAAACCAACCCGCAAAGCTTGAGTCAGTCGCAGGGAGAACATTCAACAAGCCAATCCTAGTCCAAGTGTGATATGCCTTAGAGCAAAAGAACAAGCAGTGGAAGATCGTCTCGTCATGATCCTCACAATGCGGGCACGAAGGATTAGGATCACACTTGCATTTAAATAACCTAGCTCGTGTTGCAATTGCATTTTTACCACACTTCCAAATTAAAAACCGAAGCTGTGGGGGCAACTTTAGATCCCACAACCATTTCTAATCGTCCTTGTTTGGTCTAGAAGAAGTATCCACAGCAGTCTGAGATGAAGAATCTCGACTCTCCCGAAACATCCGGTATACTTGCCTGCGGGATGTTTCGGGAGAGTCGAGATTCTTCATCTCAGACTGCTATGTTTCTTTTCATTTACTTAAATTTGTTCATATAATTAACTTGGATGAGGTTGATTTCTATTTCATCTTTGCCCTTATAAAATATATAAAAAATTTCCTTCATAAAATGCATAAAATGACAAATAGGAAAACAAAATATGAGTTTGGAAGGATAGACATGTGCAGACCCTTTGGTTCGATAGCCACAAAACCGACATTTGAATTTGAACGTATATAAAGCAGTTCAGTTCTCTGTCTCGTGAATTTTTTTAAATTTTGTTTATCATAGAACTGCGGTTATCATGATTTGGTGAGGGGGTTCAGAGAGTGTGATACGCCTAACTGGATGTCCTTCCATTAGCCAAACGATGTTGTAGTTTTTATTTTTTTTCAAACCAATTCATCCCAATAACTCGATAATGAGAGGAATTAAATACAATAATCAATGTCTCTCAATTTTTATAAACTCAATCAAAAGAAAGTAAACTCATTGCTATAATTAAGCATGTGGTTTGTACAAGTCGTTTATACACTATACTTAATTACACTTATCAACAATGAATAAATGAACTCATCAGAATTCAAACACATATTCATTCTGATAAATTCAGTTGTTAAGGGGAAGATTCAAAGTTGAACTTACCTGAAAAACTCATTGCTATAATTAAGCATGTGGTTTGTACAAGTCGTTTATACACTATACTTAATTACACTTATCAACAATGAATAAATGAACTCATCAGAATTCAAACACATATTCATTCTGATAAATTCAGTTGTTAAGGGGAAGATTCAAAGTTGAACTTACCTGAAAAATATTTCAAATATAACTTCCATTATCCTCCACCAAAACTTAACAGAAGCATTCATTTAATAAAAAGGAAAAATAGGCGGTGGGCCGGCGGGGGCGCCCTTTGCAAGGACAAATTGGAAGATCAGTATTTCATCTTCAAGCCACGTGCGCTATAATGGTTTGAATATTTGTATATATCTCTTTAATTTTATATATATTAAAGTTTACAGAATATTTAAAAGGGCTAATACCACTGGAAATACCAACCGTTAGCGAAAGTGTCATTTATATTATGTAACTTCAATAAATACAAAAATATTCCAACCTATTAGGTGTTTACGTCATTTATGTTATGAGAATTTTTGTTGACCGTTAGATTTAACGTTTGACCAAACGGTGGTCAACTTTTGTTTGACCATAAATAAAGTGGCGCTTAGGTGACGTCCACTTATGTGCCACATATGAAATTATTATTAAAATAAAAAATTTAAATAAAGTAAAACGAATTGTAGGAAAAGAAGAAGAAAAATAATTGCCCACTTTCTCTCCTCGTTCTCTTCTGTCTTTCCACCATATCGTCGCCGTACTCCCACTCCACCAGGCACCTGTTACTACCGTTCCAGGGGGAGCCTCCGGTGAACAATCCCCACCTCATACACTCCTCCCGCTGCCGGTGACATTACTCCCCCACCTAACCACTAAAAATAAGTTTATGTTAGTATCGGCGGTGGCGGCGGCCATGGTGGTAGTTTCCCTGCGGCCGAATCGGGAGAACATAACGACCTCCACATCGAGAGGGAAATAGAACGGACGTTTCGAGCCGGATAACTTCTCGATCGTGGATTACGTTGTCGTGGCCGACTTGTCGAGATCTCGTTTCCTGCGTTGTTGGTCGCAGTTAGGGTAGATCTGGACTGCTTGAAATCGGCGACGATGGCTGCGGCGACGAGGGTGGGAAATCGGTTGTTGCTCCTCCTACTGCTCGAGCTCGTTTTTGTGCTCAACGGCTTCAAGAGCCCACGCGTCGGGCTTATCTCATGGATAACCTGAACCTCTGACGCACCGGCGACTCCCCCCAAAAAATCCAGAAATCGAAGAAGATGAGAGAGTATGAGCGAGGGTTTTGTGGAGGTCGGGAAGAAGGATATTGAGTGGTCGTCGATGTGGATTATGCCGGATTGAATCAGGATTGAATGTAGAGAAGGGTGGCGGCGATGATTGTGTGCAGAGGAAGAAGGAGAAGAATGGGGATGTTCGGGCCTCGGGGAGTTCAAGTTTCACTTGTCAGAGATATTTTCTTTTTTTATTTTCTTTAATCCCTTAAAAATCAATTAAAAAGGCTTGAATTTTATTTTTCTTAGACTCCATCTAAGCGCTGATGTGGCGCTGTGATTTCAGTCAGAAACTAACGGCAAAACTAACGGAGGTTACACAAATGACATATCGAAACTTACATAATATAAATGACACTTTCGTTAAAGGTTGGTATTTCTAGTGGTATTAGCCCTATTTAAAAGGACCAAGATAGCTATTATTCAAACTATGACATACATGGAGAGGCATCAATTTCATAATAATAAAAACAAATCAAATGAACTATGTACAAAAATACATGGATCGAATAGCACACTCATATTGTCCCCCTTCTCTCTCTCTTTCAAAAACTCTCTGCCTTCTCTCTAGTTTTCTTTTCAAACCTCACTCGAGGACTGCCGTCGGCGTCCTTATGGCCACCGACGGTGGCCCTCCCCCCTTTTATGTTTCTTGCATGCATTAGATATCTTCTTCCATTTCCATTTTCAGTCCCTCTATGAGCTCTTTCTTGAACCTCATTGTGGGTTCCTTTCTTTCCCTATCTTTATGATAGGGGTCTTTCCCGATCCTTTTTCTGGTCTGTTTCAGATCTAGATTCTTGGGTCTTTTGTTCAGTGACAAAGGGGGCTGCGGATGCGGAGATGCAATGGCCTTCCTTGTGAATCGGCTTGGATGCGGTTTGTGGATTTTGAAGGCAGAGACGCACCATTCAGGAGTTTATTCAGCCTTTTCTTGCTTCCTTCGTCCGCTAACTGATTGTTTTGATTGGAGGTTCTGCTCGTTTGCGTCACTTGGTGTTGATTGGAGTGCGATGTTGCTTTCCTCATGGCGTTCCCCACTGGGTTGATCTGGGTTTCTTTGGTCAGAGCTTCTTCTCTTTTGGTTGGGCGGTGGTGGTAGCAAGAAGCAGCGGTTGAGTCTCCCTTTTGGTGTCTTTCAAATTTCATATAGGGTTTAGGGTTGAGCCTCTCGGTTGGGTTCTTTCATTGGGCTTCATTGTTGTATTTGTTGTATCTTTTGGGCTCTCCTATTGTGCTTTTTCCTTAGCTTATTTGGTTTTTGTGTCTTTCCATGGGTTGGATGTTCCCAAAACTTTGTTCACTTTTGCAGTTTAATGAAACTGTTCCTTGTAAAAAAAAAAAAATAGCACACTCATCTAGCTATTCTCTTTCCTTCCCTTATATTTAGAGGAAAATGGTATTATTTTTCTTCTTTAGTTTCATAAAGACGGTCAAACAAGCTATGTCTTATGTGATCCTGTTTTAATATTTCTAACTAAGAAGCTTTTGATTAGCTTGTTTAAAAATACTAGAGGGATTAATTATGGGGATTACATAAGCCATTATGTCACCTTAATTAAACATTTCATGAGCGCATGCATGTGCATGTGCATGTGGCAGTTTATTGCCTAATTTGGGAATCCCATATATATTTGAACCGTTTGCATACAATTGCTTGTACTTGTAGTTTAGAGAGCAATTAATAGTGATCATATAATTACATTTATCTACTTCTATCGTGTGTAGACTGACTAATTAATTAGTGGTAAATATATGTCCATAACGATTTCCATTCAAATACTCTTTAAGTACAAGTTAACCCTAACCCCAAATCGAAAGGTAGACCTACCTGTATTTTATTTGCCATATACTCATTTGCAATATATGAATTAATTGCATGGGTTGTCACTTAATTTTATTATTTGTTGCACGGTGATCTAATTAAGTATGTTTTGTTGCAAGCAAATCATTTATGTATAATAAAAGTCGCAACGTCGTCATTGTTGTTCTATAGAGCTAACAATGGGTACTCGAAGGTAACTTTTCATCCCATGTGTACTTGCCAAATTAGCTGATGTACTCTGAACCATATTTACTACAAAAATCAGAGCCATATCTACTACAAAAATCGGGGGAAAAGAACTAATTATATTAATATCCCGAACTAATATTTATATCTATATCACAAAGTATAATAATACTGTTGTAAAATATGATAATATATAATTAGTTTAAAAAAAAAACTCACTGGCAGAGCAGTACAACCAAGATTACGTGTCGTCTACGGCACCAAAGGTTAAGGAGGTAGTATAAAGAGAGAGGAGCGTAGGCTATTCATTTTACACGGCTTGCTTTAAGCCATCGCACCCACAGCCGCCTCTCTATCCATTCTACTCCTCAAATCCAAAACTTATAATTAACTCCAAATTCCATAGCCACACAACACAAACCAGTGTTAGTACGTACCGCCTGATCATCGATGGAGATGAACTATACGACGTCGTTTTTCCCGGCTTTCATCTCCTCCTCGTCGGCAGCGTACTCGGCGGAAGACTACGACCACCACCAACTTGCGGTGACTGCCGACGACGGCGGCGGAGGAGGATTGATGATGGTGCCGTCGGATCGGACAACGACGGAGGAGGATCAGGCTCCACGTGGATGCTCCGATCTGGATGATCATCAGTTTGGTGTTGCCGGGAAAGGCGAGGCAGAGAGGAAGGAAATGGGCGGGGCTATAAAGAAGAAGGGAGTACTCATGAATAAGAAGAAGACGAAGAAGCCCAAGTACGCGTTTCAAACGAGGAGCCACGTGGATATACTCGACGACGAGTATCGGTGGAGGAAGTACGGCCAGAAAGCGGTCAAGAACAACAAGTTCCCCAGGTCTGCAACTGCATATATATATATTAACATCTTTATTTATTACAAGTTTTGCAACGTTTTTTAAGTGCATGCTCTCTCCGTTTAATCTCATATCAAATGATAAGAGATAACGATTAAGAGTGCTCTACTTGAGTAGTGTGGGATTAGTGTTCAAAGTTTATGCTAAATTAAAGATGCCTTAGCTTGCATATGAATGAATGCAGTCCATCTTGGATATACTTTGCCAAAAATTATAAGGTTTTGAAATTTTGTCAGGGTCGCCATAGTGTAGTTTAGCTAGTTAGAGATGGGATTTGAATTAATTAACCAAGCAGGTATTAATTAGTGGGTGGCGGCGGCTGGAATGAATGAATGTGTGTTGTTCGATCTAGGGTTAGGGATTTGGAATGAAATGCAAAAGGGGAATTTGGAACTTGATCGTGAGAAGAGAAGGGGAATAGAGATCCCAATCTCTATTCTGACTATTTCTGTGAAAACAGTGGGCTGACTTTACAAAGGCCCACGGAGAATTTAAATTAGTTAAGCAAAGATGGGCTTTTGATCTTGAGCCCAGAAGAGACGCTAGCACCAACTAACTGGATTCTGCTCAACCCTTGAAGACAGAGCAGAAGGCAAAGTAAAAACATAGAGACGAGCGGAAGAGGATAACAGAACACAGAGACCATATTTTAACGAGGTTCACCCAAGCATGGCTACGTCCTCGTCTCAGCAGTCGTACCCGCTCCTGCTGAGAGACACTATATTTTCTGATTATATGATCTCAAGACACAAGCAGAAATAAAAAGCTAGAGTTACACAAATGTAGAAACACGAAATTAAACCAGAGTACTACAAACTCTGAACCAGATTCACCCTCTCTCACAGAACCTATACCCCTGGAGAAGAGACCCTTTTACTCTCAAGTGCAAGCCCTATACCGCTATTACTTCTTCCTGTAAAAGTGAGTGCAGAGGAGGAGGTGATGATCGAATATATAGAGACAGCAACAAAGCCGTTGTCCTTTACTAGCCGTTGAGAAAAATCAGCTCCTTCCTTTTCTACCAGCACTTTCCTTGTTAGAGCTTGCTAGCTCTGATCTCGCCCAACAATCTCCCCCTAGATCAGAGATTGCAAATGCCATAGATCCTGCAAAACAAGCCTTGACAAACACAAAGCAAGGATATCCAACGAAGACAGCATAAATAGTTTCAAAGCACCAAATCAAACACCAGTCATTCACACCAATCTAATCAAACCACACAGTAAATCCAAAGCATCAAATCAAAGCGCCAAAAAAAAGTTTAAAGAGAGGTTCAACACTGGCTCCCCCTAAGCCAAGGCTCCCCCTAAACTAGTCTGCAAGTGAAACAGATTCGTCTGAGCTGTAATCCACGAGTCTTCTAGAGAATCCACCAGGCATGACAACAGCTGCTCCAAACCGATCTAGATCATCGTCATCATTTCCTGCTGCTTCAGCAACATCTTCAGGCACCTCTTCAGGATCGTCGACTTCATCTTCATCTTCTTCAGTATCAGCAGCGTCCATCTCCCCCTCGTTTGAAATCTCAAGCTCATCAAGAACTTGATCAATAAGAAAGACCCAAGAAGGTTGCACAGTGTGAAACGAGGTAAAAGAAATCCCCAGGCGAATTATCAGCTGAGTTATCAGGGGACCAAAAGGGAGAGGACCAGGGAAACTAGAGTCCCCATAGGTCATGAAGACTTCAAACAACAGATATGAGAAATCCAAAGGAATCCCAGCAGCAGCATGAGCCATGATCCATAAATCCAAGGGAAGAATAATATCCAAGGATTGAGTGCGAGGCAAGAAAATCCGTGTGATAACAAAGTACAGAGCACGAAGACGAGGCATAACAGAGTTGACAGGCAGAAAAGTTGCTGGTCCAGGATGAATACCAGTCAACTGAAGGAATTCAGCCGAGATATCGAAGTTATATCTCCATAGTTCAGACTCATGGGCTAACACTTCTCCTACAGGAGGGATATTGAGGATACGAGCCAACTCAGGAACAGGAATAGTTACTAGATGGCCGTAAACAACAGTAGAGAAACAGCGACTTTGCAGCCCAAAAGAACGAAGATTTGAATAAAAATATTGGACCAACTCAGGGCAAATCAAAGAAGGAGGATCTAGCAGAAGAAAATCCCAGCCAAGATTGTGGATGAAATCTCCCACGTCAAGTCCATACTCCACAAAGTCAGGAAGATGAACATGAATAGGGGTAGCAATGGGACGATTTTCATAAGCTAAGGCAAACCTATGTCGACTGAAAGAGATGGGCTCAGAAAACAGATAGCCAGTGAAGGTTTGGGAAAACACACGATTCATGGCTGCAACGAGAGAGGAGGATCAAGGGAAGAGATAATGACCACAACAGTTAATAAACCAGAGTATAAATAGGACACGCAGAGAGATAGAACTGGAAGGTAAAGCGACACATCAATTAGGCCTAAAAATTATCAACTAGAAAAGGAAGATCAGAAGCACAAAACAAGGAAGCAAAAATCAAGAAAAAAAGGACAGAAAAATAATCAATTAAGGAAAGGAACCATAACAATCAGACAGTAAGGAAATCACGAAGATTATCATAGGATCTGAGACCAATGTCATAGCATAGGAATGTAAATCGATCAGCAGACAAAGGTTTAGTGAATAGGTCAGCCAATTGAAATTCTGTAGAGATGTAGTTAAGAGCAATGACCTGATTCTGAACTAGTTCTCGGATGAAATGGTACTTGATCTCAATATGCTTAGTCCGGGAATGCTGTACTAGGTTTTTGGTCATGCAAATTGTGCTGGTATTATCACAATATAAGGGAATAACAGGCACAGTCACACCATAGTCACTTAGTTGATACTTGAGCCAGAGAAGTTGAGTACAACAGCCTCCAGCTGCTATGTACTCAGCCTCGGCTGTTGAAAGGGCAACAGCCCCTTGTTTTTTGCAAGACCAAGAAACAAGTGATGTACCAACAAACTGACATGTACCACTTGTGCTTTTGCGATCAGTCAGACTTCCAGCAAAGTCAGAGTCGCTATAGCCAAGTAAATCAAAACTATCATGCTTAGGGTACCACAGACCTACACTAGTTGTACCTTTTAAGTATCGAAAAATACGCTTAACAGCAGTAAGATGACTTACTTTAGGTGCTGCCTAGAATCTGGCACATAAGCACACACTATACTGAATGTCAGGTCGACTAGCAGTCAAGTAAAGAAGTGACCCAATCATTCCCCTAAACAATTTTTCATCTACTGGAACCCCATTTTCATCTTTGTCCAACTTGAGATTCACAGCCAATGGAGTAGGACTGGAATTGATGTTGGAAAGATTGAATTTATCTAACATAGAGTTAATATACTTCCTTTTCTACCAGCACTTTCCTTGTTAGAGCTTGCTAGCTCTGATCTCGCCCAACAATGTGTTGCCTGGTACTTGCAGACCTAACCCACACAAGTGTGGAATCTATCTATGCGGGCGGGCGGGGCCGTGTGCTGAAAAGTCATTCCCTTTTTTCTCCAAAGCCCTGAAACCATATCTGATTCAAATTGACGGAAAGTCGCTTCCAATTTTAAGTTTTCTACAACTAGCCCTATATATGACATGTCATGCATTGAAATCGCAAGCAGGTACTGGCGGCTCTCGTCTTGTTCTTGTCATCCAGTGGTGGAGCTAGGTTGAAGTGAGAAGAGTTGTAGTCCCATTAATTCCAAAATATAAGTAAAATTACATATAAGTTATGTCCAAATTTAAAAATTAGAATAGTCGGTACAGTTTTATTCTATCTCTCCCAATTACAACCATTCAAATAAGCCCCTTGCTTGCATTTTTGGCTCCACCATTACTGCATCCAACCTTTCGTAGATCGATCATTGAGTTCTCAAAATTTATACCAACAAATACAAAGCGTGTAAACACGACTTAAACATAATTAGAAATTCTCGGCAATCAACAATCAACATGCACCTTATTAATATATGATTAGTACTAAGGTGCTGAGTACAACGAGACTATAACATTAAATATGCAAACAAACACATATATGAATGAGGCATGCATTACATGACATGAAAGTATTAAACGTTATAATATACAATCAACGTTGTCTTAATTTGCTAATATAAATTGTGTGCATGGTGCTGCAGAAGTTACTACAGGTGCACGTACGGAGGATGCAACTGTTGACGAACGATGAAGGCGTAGTAGTGACAACCTATGAAGGAATACACTCTCACCCGATTGCCAAGTCCATGGACAACTTTGAGCACATCTTGAACCAGATGCATCTCTTTACCGCTTCCATTTAAATTTAAATTCTTATATATTACTCACGCCAATTATCAAATTTCAAATGTCTTTGTAAATTAATCAATATCTTTCTTTACATGCAAGTCTCTTTATTCCCCTCTAAACTTCGATTCCCATGCTGCAAGGACTTTTGCTCTTCATAATTTTGGATTGTTATGCCTTAGCCATTGGTAGCTTTTGAAAGCTCAAATGAAAAGCAAACTGGCCAATTTTATTTGAATGAATGAAATGACAATAAATACACGACTCTAGCCACAAGATCCGGCCTGTACACACTACTCTAACTCCACTTCCCTAAGATACAGCAACCACTAACTGCTAATAAGCTACGTGATGCAAGTCTTGACCCAACTAACCCACAGAAACAATGGACTGTTTTGACGCAAAACAGAATTAAAAAACCATAAATACAATTAACCAAACGACCCAACTTTGGCTTGACAGCCTTATTTGAAACTCAACTCCCCGCCCCCTTGATGCAACTACCAGTCAATTGGAGGATTCCTAACAAATCCTCCCCTAACTAAAGCCTCTGATACAACCACTTCAGTTCACTTCTCAACGGCTGTCTTTTACATAAGTTCAAAATCTTCAGCCTTGTCTACAACAGCTACTTCAATGACATCACACACTCCAAATGTGCCCAGCTTTAGAGTAATCACATCATAGCTTTTGATTGCTAACACAACAAATGACAACATCAACAATCTTGTGACTCTTATATGTAAAATTGTTTTAGTTTAATCAAATTTTCCACGCTTGTCAAATAACTCCACAAAAATGTCCAGCTTCAGTGCCTTTTTCATAATGTAGGTTATCTTATCACAAGGGTCAACCACTTCCCCTTTGTCAAAACCCCTTGGATGATGGAAACTAAGATTAGTGGGTTCACTCCTTTCTTGCACTATTGAATTCTTGGACAACTCAATGATCAATAAGTTGTCACACGTAATCTTGATTCCTTGTGATGTATAATGGGCGGTAACGACAAGTTCAACTTCAGTTATGATGTCGTTAGCCTCTGACGGCTCCTTGCAAGCTCCAGGTATAACCTCTCTTGATTCTTGATAGTTAATGCGTCTTCTACTATCCATATCATCAACATAATATTCAATATCACAACATTGAAAGTGGATTGTTAGAACCTCCCTTGTGTATATGTTGCTAGAACGAAGAGCATCATTTACGTACCACAAACTTCCAAACACTTGCTTGTACCAAGTATATCTCCAACGTTGTAAACTTGGTTCCATATACCATGGAAGACAACAAAATATATTCCACTCATGTCATCAAGTCAAAATCTGCTGCATCATTTTTATAGTTGATAATCCAGCTGGCAAAGTGATAAAAAAAGTCACAAAGCTAGCTATAAAGTTAGTTGTGAACATGAATTGAGCAATAACCAAATTGGTAATTAGGTGCTTCACCAAACTAGATGCAATTAGCCACTTCTGAACTCTAGAGACCTGTAGAAAAACAGCTGGTAAAACTGCTGCAAATATGATCCAATATGTTGTAAAAACATATACAAAGCTTAGTAACCTTGTTGCAGAATCAGCTACAATAGGTTCACCAAATATATCTTTATATTTAGTTTCCTTAACCTGGACCCTTTCTTCAAACATGGTGTAGATTGCTTGAATCCACTCAATAAGTTCCTTTATCTTCACTGCATGATTCTTCGAATGATCATTGTCCTCTCCAGCTTCATGTATATTTATATAGCCAAATTTCTTGTACATTCGTGGTCCCAATTTCTCAATAATTTCATACTTGTTTTCTTCAAATTCAACCTCGCCAACCCTTGTGTATGGATTGGAAACTCTTAGATCAACCTTAATTCCCTGCTGGTGGATAAAGATATCCTCCTCCAGTTTAAACTTCATAACATGTTTCTCATCACTACTACTAACCAGCTTCTCACCATTGTTGTCATACATTGCAACATTCATACTCAATCACAACAAATCTGGCTCTAGTTCCGTTAGAGCCATAATCTCTCCCTATGGAAAATCTTCTTATATCTAAGGAGTATTGGAGGGCTGTAAGTGAAGGAATCGAGGAGCCTACTTCAGGAGAGCAGTTGTCTGCAGTAGAGCTCAAATCTCTAGAGGATTCTAAGTTGAGGGATCTAAAGGCTAAGAATTATCTTTTCAATTCAGTTAACAAGGTAATCCTTAAAACTATCACTAAGAACACTGCAAACAAAATCTGGGATTCCATGAAATTAAAATTCCAGGGTAGTTCTAGAGATCAAAAGGTTCAACTGCAGGCCCTTAGAAGAAATTATGAGTTGCTTGAAATGAAAGAGGAAGAGACTATTACAGATTACTTTGGAAGAGTCATGGTAGTGACTAATGCAATGAAAAGCTGTGGAGAAGATCTGAGTGATGTGCAGAGCGTGGAAAAGATCTTAAGAACTTTGATTGAAAAGCTCAATTATGTGGTTTGTTCAATAGAAGAGTCTAAGGACATTGAATTACTAACAGTTGATGCCTTGTAGAGTTCATTAATTGTACACAAACAGAAATTCCATAGGAGAGATATAGTTGAGGAAGATCAAGCTCTCAGAACTACTCATGAGTTTGGAAGAATAGGGACAAGAGGAAGAGGAAATTCTTATGAAAGAAGAAGAAGTGGAGGAGGAAGAGGCTGGAACAAGGAGTCTGTTGAGTGTTTCAAGTGTCATAAGCTTGGACACTATAGACATGAGTGCCTAGAATGGTACACAAATCAGCAAGCTTATTACTCCAACTATCATCCTTCTCATGACAGATCACATGGAGACATGAAGGAAGATGTGTTGCTAATGGCCTATACGAAAAAGGAGAAAGAGGAAATGGGAAGTGAGATGGGATTAATGGCCTCTTTGGAAGCTGATCATGCTAGCAGTGAAGGAATAGAAGGCTGCAGAACCTGGTGGCTTCTAGATTCAGGTTACAACCATCACATGACATGTAACAAGAGCTGGTTCTCTATCATTGATCACTCTTTATGTTGCAATGTGAGATTAGGGAATGGGGCTGAGTTGCAGGTGGCTGATAGGGGAACCATTAGAATGCAAATTGAACACAAATCCATAGTTATTGATGATGCATTCTATGTCCCACTACTAAAAACAAATTTGTTGTGTATTGGAAAGATGCAAGATAAGGGATTAAGTTTCCTTATTATTCATGGAGTTTGTAAAGTATATCATGATGAAAATGGCCTCTTGTTTTGCTTTAGAATGAAGACAAACAATATGTTTGTACTACATGTTGATTCTGCAGATAGTATGGCAGAACCTGAATTTCAATGTATGCAAGCTATGAGATCTAAAGTAGTGATCCATAAAAGGGAGGTTGGTGATGTTGAGACAAATAAGGATACTTTACTTGCAGTAGTATAAACATTTAGTGCAACTGCTGTGAGTTCATATTATGCAATTCAGATTCAATAAGAGGAAGATGAATTGAAGGAAACAAATATGTTAGGACTTCCCTCCCCAACATCTTTGGATTCCATAACTACTGATATGATCTCAATTGGACCTCCTTACAAGTTTCAATGGCTTAAAACAGAAGCAACCTCAATCGATGAAAGAAAACCTAAATTTTGGCTAAGTCTTTTCCCTGTTTCAGGTAACCTACTTTGGAGGCTTGGTTCGCACGAATGGCTCACTGAAAATGGGAGGTTACGAGTTTGTTATGCAGATAAAGTTTTCCTGAACAAGATGATATGGTTTTTGGATCCATAAGAAGCCATTAAGATGATTTACCATACGTCCAAAGTTGCCATATGGAAAGCTGAAAACTGTTTGAAATTGGCTAAGGCATGATCCGTGTTCAAGAAGCTTACTTTGGAAAGATGGTTGTGATTCGAGTCCAACGAGTTATTCCACATCAAAGTACAGGTTTCATAATACAAAGACAAGGAATTGGTTGAATGGTTTGGTTATTGGAAGACCTCAAATGAAGATTCCAAAGATCGAGTCGAGCTGTGTTTTCTAACTTTGGAAGTAGGACAAATCCGAATCCTTGTAGGATTAGGATTCCTAGACTGTTTTGTGCTTTGGGTTCTTTCCTTGTTTGTTTGGGTTTCTTTGGGTTTTTATTCGAGTTGTATTAGATTTAGGACTTCTTACCTTGTTTAATACCCTAGCTAGAGCCTATTTAAGTTCTCATATGCATTGTAATCGATCCAAGTTTTATGAAAAGAACATGTTTGTTCATTGAGTTTATCTCGTGAATTTTGTCCTTGGTTTGATTGGATTGAATCCTTCGATCAAGCGAGCTCTGCATCATTTTAGTAGCCCTTCAATTGTGGATGATTTGTAACCTCAACCGATCGAGCCTCTTCCAAATTCTTGGCGAGAAGTTGCACAATCAAAGCCATCCCCTTCTTTCCTCTGTTTTCGTTGTCAAGTCACCTCAACTCTTGCTTCGTGGGAGTTGAGTCCAAATCAAACGGCCTAGTTCGAGGTTTGGGTGTTATCAACTAATGAATCATCATATATGAACTCCAGTAGAAGCTTGCAAGTCTTATCCCCTCATCATGATTGGTTCAGTTTTTGTTTTCATAGAAAGGTGAAAAAAGCAGCTTATGTGATGCAACCAATGTTCATAGTCTCCATCGAATTTCAGTGTGCAAACTTGTGCAAAGCTACTGCTTTCACTCATCTTGAGATCTCACTCAAAAAACTCACACAACAACTGCTTGACAGCAGATCTCACTCACCCTTGGATTGATATCCTCACACAACAATTGCTTGACAACATATTTCACACACCCTTGGATTGATATTCTCACAAAAACTCTTCTATCCACCCAGTCTACAACTCACAGCATAACTTCTCGCAATCACTATTAATTTTCTTGAAAGCCTTTGGTTACAGCTTGCTTGAGCTGTGATACCACAATGAAAGCTCAAATGAAAATCAAACTGACCAATTTTATTTGAATGAATGAAATGACAATAAATACACGATTCTGGCCACAAAAATCGGCATGTACACACTACTCTAACTCCACTTCCTACGATACAGCAACCACTAACAAACCAGCTAACGTGTTGCAAGTCTTGATCCAACTAACCAACAGAACAATGAACTGTTTTGACGCAAAACAGAACTAAAAACCATAAATACAATTAACCAAACAACCCAAATTTGGCTTGATAGCCTTATTTGAAACTCAACTCCCCGCCTCCTTGCTACAACTACCAGTCAATTGGAGGATTGCTAATAGGTTTTCCATATGTGTTGGGAATCATCAATACGTTTTCAGTTACTTCGGTTAACTTATCTTTGGATTCATAATCTTGGAGAGAAGCTAGCTATAGTTACAGAACCTGCTCTTTTTAGATGATTTGTTATGATCCCGAATTCATATTGTAAAACAGGTCCAAAAGAATCTCTAATTATAACTAGCTACTTATGATTTTTGATTGTCTTGAGTTTGTAAGACAGGTGTTGTATATAATTGGCTCATCCTTGTGTTTTAAATGGATGGAATTAGATCCCGTTAGGCTATTTTGCTTAGCATTCAATGTTGTGTCTTGTCCTTGATTGTACACAAGCCTTAATTAAAGTAGTGTTTGGTATTTTGCCAATGTAACCCTAATGGGGAGTATATAATGAGGGACGTGAAAGTGTATGGTGTAACCGGTAAACACCTAGTGAAACAGTTGAGTTGAGTATCATAGCTCTCCGTGGACTAGTCATGTTCGTGTTGAACAGAGAAACCACGTTAAATTGTCATGTTCTTTACTTTCCGCATCTAGATTTCTTCATGGCTGTTTCGTGTGACAAGATCCAGGTTATCATTACTGTTTCTGCATCTAGATTTCGTCATGTTCGTGTGCCAAGATCCAGGTTATCATTACTGTTTCGCTATGAGTACTAATGAAAACGCTGTGGTTTGGGGTTCTGGTGGCATCGGAGGTAGCGGCAGTGGTGGCACCAGAGGTAGCGACGGTGGCTATGAAACTGACCCTGCTTCTCCCTCTTTTCTTTCGCAATTCGATAACCCTAACTAGCTGTATGTTGGGGAGGTTCTCAACGAGACCAACTATGCGTATTTGGTATATGAGATGTCAACGTCTCTCATTTCCAAGAACAAACTATTTTTTGATGGCTCCCTTCAAGCTCCTACAGATCCGGGCAAGCTACGTGCGCGTATCAACACATTGACGCAATGGTTAAGGGTTGGTTAACCTCAGTTGTCGATAAGCATGTTTTTTATGGTATGCGGCCTGCTAAGATGGCTCGTGAGGTTTGGACTTACCTGAAGGAGCGCTTTGCATAAGACAGTCATTCTCGGGTTTACGAAGTTCGTCGTTCGATCAGTCTTCTTTATCAGGAGAACTGGCCGTCTCCAAATTTTATACCCAGCTCTGCGCGTTGTGGGAGGAGTTCAAGAGCGTGGCGCCATTGCACCCATCGTGAGGTTTGGACTTACCTGAAGGAGTGCTTTGCACAAGACAGTCATTCTCGAGTTTACGAAGTTCGTCGTTCGATCAGTCTTCTTTATCAGGAGAACTGGCCGTCTCCAAATTTTATACCCAGCTCTGCGCGTTGTGGGAGGAGTTCAAGAGCGTGGCGCGATTGCACCCATGCACATGTGGCTTCTGCACTTATGGTGATATGATCCCAAACGGCCAACTCTACACGTTTTTATTACTTCTCAAAGAAGCTATCAAGGTTGGAAAGAAAAGAGGCAGAATTTGGATGTGTGTTGGAATAGTGTCGAGATACCTACTTTGGAGGCGTGGTTCTCACAATTGGCTCATTGAAAATTGGAGGTTAAGGGTTTGTTTTGAATATAAAGTCTCACTCTTCAAGTTGGCATGGTTTTTGGATCCAAAATAAGTCATTAAGGTTTTTTCCAAGGCCACAAAGTTTCTACCTCAAAACAGGAAAACTGCCAGAAAAAGGTTAAAGTCTGGAAACGTGTTTGTGAAGCCTACTTTGGAGCTCAATTTGAGGAGCATGGAGCTGATTGGTGTCCAGAGACTTCCACAACATGAAAATAAGTATGTTTATCTACCAAGGGAAGGAATTGGATGAAGGATTGGAGTTCTGGAAGGCCTCGAACGAAAGGCGCGAAGTTAGTACGAAAGCTGCTTTTGGACTGTTTGCTTGCAGCTTGTGCTTCAAGAAAGGAAGTTTGGGTCCGAATTTTGTAATGTTTTAAGAGTAGAATTTTACCTTATTTGTTTCCTTTTTCATCTAGTTTGTATTAGGTTTTCTTGGCTATAAATAGTCTTCTATTTACGTTGTAAAAACTTAGACTTTGATTAATCGAAAAGAAACCTTTGGTTATGTGCTAGTTTGTGAACTTGTGTGAGTTTGGTGGATTCCAAGCTTGTGAGCTCTTGTATCGATTGAATAGTCACTTCAATTGTGGTCGGGCATTTATCCTTATATCAATCGAGCCTTTCCCGAGGTGTGGAATTGCACGTTTGATTCCATTTTATCCCAAACACCCAAGAACATCCATTTTTGGTTTGAGGTTCGTTTTAATCAATCCAATCCTTGGATTGGTTGTTTTTCTGCGTCCTTTTATAAAAATCCAACCCTCCCAAGTTCGTATTATATGGGCAGGGACGGAAGAATCAAGAAAGGGAGGAACCTTTCAGGCTCTCCATTTTTCTTATGGGACTCGATGAGTCATTCTCCACTGTTAAAACTTAGGTTCTGTCGATGCTCTTTATGCCTAAGCTATCTAAAGCATATCAACTAGTTTTGAATGATTACGATCAATGTCGAATTGCGGCTGGCAATTGCCCTACTCCCGAAGCTGGTGCTTTCTTTACTATGGATGATCCGAGACGTGGTGCTGATGAGAAACCTAAGTGCATCCAATGCGGTAAGCAAGGCCATTTGAAGAAACGTTGTTTCAACCTCATTTGCTGGCCGGAGAAGTCTGGATCGAAGAATGACAAAATTGGCCACAAAAAGGAGCCTTGTGATCGACCACACAATGGTCCTAAAGCTGCCCATGTTTCCATAGGGGAGAGCCCCATCCCGGGCCTTTCTTTCCAATAGCTCGAGCAACTCAAGAGCTTTCAGGGCCAAAAATCCAAGGATAAACTCAATGTGGTTGGAAAAATGACAGGTACTGCTTCTTCCTCTCTTGTTAATGCTGAATGGGTCAAAGATATTGGGTGTAATCAACATATCACGAAAGATGCAAGCTTGTTATCGAGTGGTCTTTGTGAGCATCTATTAACGTTCAGCGGGTTGGTTCTGTTCGGTTGGGAAATGGATTGTTGTTGCCGCGGGTGTTGCCCGTTCCTGAGTTTAAGTGCAATCTTCTTTCTGCGAGCCAGCTTACTAAACATTTTTTACTTGCGTTGATCTTCTTGTGGGATTTCTGTTTTATCCAGGGCTTATGCTCCAAAGTCTGATTGGGATGAGTAAGGAGCGAGATGGACTCTACTACTTGGGTTTGTTCGGTCATGTTAGGCCTGCTATGGTGTGCGCGACGCAAGCAGTAGGGACTTTGGCTCCTTGGCATTCTTGCCTTGGGCTTCCAACACCAGGGAATTTGCTCCAGTTGTCTTTTCTTTCTACTACTTGCTGGTCACAACAGATTTTTGCTCATCTTGTTTGAGAGCTAAACAATCGAGACTTCCATTTCAATCTAGTTCTTTGCATAGCTGCCTGGCTTTTGAATTAGTACATGTGGATATTTGGGGCGGCTACAGGGTAGCCTCGTTGAGTGGGGCTCACTATTTTTGACGATTTTCAATTTTACATTTGGTACGTGGTTTTATGTGTTGAAATTCGAGTCCGAAGTTGGGAAATACCTCGAGTTGTTTTGTGAGCAAGTTAAACGTCAGTTTGGAGCTGCAGTTAAGCGCATTCAAGCTTATAACAGTTTTGAGTTTCAAACTACTCAACTTTGTGATTATTATGTCCGCGAAGGGATTGTTCTTCAAACTTCTTGTGTTGATACTCCTCAACAGAACAACATCGTGGAGCGTAAACACCGCCACATTCTTGAGACGACTCAAGCTCTTCATTTCCATGCTCACTTTCCGGTTAAGTTCTGGGGAGAATGTGTATTGACGGCTTTCTAACTCATCAATCGCGTGCCTTCATCTCTTGATCACCACAAGTCTCCGTTTGAGACTCTATATGGTCGTTTACCCAGCTATGATCACTTGAGGACGTTTGGATGTCTAGCGTTTGCCAAGGATACCCATCACCACTTGGACAAATTTTCTGAGCACAGACAAAAAGGTTATCAGTTGTTTGAGCTTCGCACCCGTTGCTGTGTTACCAGCCGGGACAACAAGGTGATAGCTTTACAGTGGCCCTCATCTACGTTGACGATATCATTCTTGGAGGCAATGATTTCGCTTTCATTGAACGTGTTAAGGGTGTTCTTGATTGTCATTTTAGTATCAAGGATCAGGGTCTGATAACGACATATTTGAACATGTTTTTCTCCTTATTTCTTGATCGTTTGGGCTCGCTTTCTCGTTCTCGTGGCCTATTTAACGCTAGGTTGTGTTGTTTGATAATGTTTCAGTTCCTAGCACGAGAATGGGTGCGAATGAGTGACTTTTGGGACGGTTTGGAGCGAATGGGCAGAGAGCTGAGATAAGTTACGGCCCATCCTTCAAAGTTATGGTATGGACCGTAAATTACCCTTTAGCCCGTAAGTCTGGAGAAGAGAAGGCGAGGGATCCAGAAGTTATTATGAAGTTACAACCTTGGCAAAGAAGTTATGGTCATGACCGTAACTTCTTCCTAGAACCCGTAACTCTCAGGAGGCGATTACACAGGGTTCTAGGAGAGTTTTCGAAGTTACAGCCTCCCCTCTCAAGCTACGGTTGCGATCGTAACTTCTCCAAAGAAGTCGTAACTCTTGGTTTACGGAGCACAACAACAACAACGTTTTAAGGAGGAGATACGGGCTAGGAGAGGAAGTTACGGCCATAACTTAGGTCGTAACTCGCGAATCTCCCGCTTATAAAAGGGCTACTCGGGAAAAAGGCAAGGGATCCGGATTTTGAGAGTTCTAAAGGCTGAAAGAGAACCCTATAGAGAGAGTGACGAAGGACAATCCTTGGGCAAGGATTGGAGCGATCTGAAGATCTCGGAGCTCGATTCCTCATCCTCGGAGTACCGATTAGCCGCCAGGAGCAGATTTTCATTGTCCACATGAGGATTTCTTCCCCTAGCATGATGTTCCCACTTCTCTCCATGGAGTAAACTCCCCTTTCATCTAGGTATGAAGGACCCTAGTTTTGTATGCTAGGAATGGTTGTATGAAGTATGAACCCCATTTTCGAATGATTGATTTGGTATATTCAATTGAGGAATTAATCAGAATTGCATGAGTCCTGATCAAACCTGTGTGATTCCTGCTTTAACCTAGAATGATAGTCTCTGCATAGGTTAAAAGAGCAACCTTAAATTGGAAGTGGTGAATCGACTGCTTTAGTCGAGAAGTCGATTCACTGCTCTGTACTGGAATTAAATCCAGTAGAGGAAGTTTAGTGTGTTATTGGCTTGGTAGTTTATGCCAGACAAGTTAGAAGAGTGGCATTATCACGCCTATGAGAACACCAAACTGTATAAGGAGCTAACCAAGCGTCTCAACGACGCTCGGCTCAAAGGCCCAAAAGAGTTTCAGGTGGGCGATCGTGTTCTTCTATACAATTCGTGCATGCAACTCTTTCCAGGAAAGTTGCACTCTCGGTGGTCTGGATCATTCATAGTCACTCATGTGTTTCTCTTTGACACCATCGAAATTTCAAATCCGCAGATTGAGCCCTTCAAGGTAAACGAGCATCGCCTCAAGCAGTACTTGAGAGGTGATGTAGAACGCGTGGAATTGGTGGTTGATCTCGCGGACCCTTAGTTCTGCCATCTATGACCAGATAAAATATGGTAAAGAAGAGCTTGTGGGGAGGCAACCACACCTCGGTTTGCATTTTCTTCCCTCTATTTGTTTGTGTCGTTTTGTGTGTTTCAATTGTCGAACATGGAGTTTTGCGGTCATTTGTTGTGCTTTGGGTGGCCCTAATCTTTGGATTTTCGGTTCTGGTGGTTTACGGGGTGTTTTTGGGCATTTGGCGTTGGTTTCGGCAAATTTGGGCGGACACAGGAAGACCGACCAAAGGAGTTACGGCCTGAGGTGAGAAGTTACGATCACGACTGTAACTCTCCCCCTCAGCCCGTTACTTTAAATTTTCCTCTGGATCATCTAGATTTTTACCCTAGAAGTTACGGGCTCAGCCTCAAAGTTACAGTCTCAACCATAACTTTGAGCGCAGCCCGTAACTCTTCCTCGTCCAGGCGAACCAGCGAGTTACGGCCCAATTACGGACCGTAACTCGCTGGATCAAACCGTAGCTCTCTGACTCGTTCGAGTCGTCGAGTTACGGGTCGTAACTCTCCCAATCTCGCCATAACTCTGCCTTGTCTTTAAAAGGGCGGGTTACGCACCGTTCTCATTGCCAGAAGCCCACTTTGTCCTCGCCGGAAACCAGCACCGCCGCGTCGCCCTCACCTTCCCCGTCGTTTTTCCGCCGCCTCTGACGTGCGCTTTAGGCGACATCTGCGGCGCTGAACTTGTCTCGTCTGGGCGCTTCGGCCATTGTCCCCAGTTCCTTCGTCGGACGACTTTCATCCTCGCCAGAAATCGCCTCCGGCGACTCTCCGGTGGTGGTTGTGGGGCTGTGGTTCCACTTTTTTTTTCTCCCGTCTTCTCCCTCGCTCTACTCTACTCCTTGTGTCTCCAGGTTGGTCCTCTTAACCCATCTTGTCTTTTTGGAGAATCGCACTGTAAGGGTGTATGGAGAATTTATATGCTTTGCATGTCTAGATGTTTTAGGCGAGAGAATGTAATTGCCTGAAAATGTGTGGTGTGCTTGCATGTGTTAATAACTAGATTAGTGCCCGTTTCTGTGGTTATCATACTGCAGTATGGTGGATTGAGCTTAAGTGTGGGGGAAATGTTGACCCTGTTGGTCAGACTTTCCCGATTATTTTGGTTACTAATAGGTTTCGAGGTGTGTGGTTGTCTGTTTTGCAGGATAATGGTCAACCTGAGATTGGGTGCCACTACCGCCTCAAACTGGAGTACTTCCAACGGTTCTTGTGTCGTGAAGCCATCGAGGTGGCAGTCCCACACTAGGGATGGAGGCACCTGCTGGAGCTCCATGATGACATTTTTTAGGAGCTCACGGTGGAGTTCTACACCACTTTCCGCCACGTCCGGAAGCAGCAGGTCACCGACAATGGAGCAGTCTCCTTTCGGCTCGGAGGTCATCATCACAGCCTGACTTAAGATGAGTTTGCCGTCACCCTAGTCCTGGACCACAACAACATGTTCCGGGTGGAGAAAACCATCCCCACGGTGGACTTCCGGGCTTTTTACCAGCAGATCTGTCTGCATCAACATGTGGCGGTTCCCTGTGCGCAGAGTAGGACCTGGGCAAGTTAGCTCCAGTCTCCTTGGTGGTTTCTCCAATTGTTTCTCGCCCACTCTGTCAACTCCAGTCAAGAGGCTTGCTCGACCGCATCAGCCTCACGTCGGTCTTGGCGATCTCCTTCTCACGGGTGAATAACCACTCGAAGGTGTAAACTCTTTACGGCGGAGCTTACATCACCCGTCTGGCCCACTAATTCGGCGTTCCTTCGATGAGTGTACCTGGGTCAGGCGTGTCAGAGGCTGTGGCTCCATTCGCTAGTCATGGTCCACCAGATCAGTCTGGCCTTGACCCGCTGCAGTTCGTCCCCGGTCATCCCGGTGCTGGTTCATCTTTGGCAACTTGACGACCACTGGACAGGCATGGAGGCTCGCTTCGACACGATTGAGGAGCGCCTGGATTATGAGTGTGACGTTCGTCGTTACTTTCACCTCCTGCTGGAGCACCTGTGCTTGGCGGCTGACGTGGAAACTTCCTAGACTTTTTGGCAGCCTTTTAAGCCTCGGGATGAGGACGAGGAGGATTGAGACTTCCCTTGATGATGGGCTCCATGTTTTTAGTGTCTTGTGTTTCATTTTTTTTTTTGTCAAACTGGAT